TTTAATCATTCTAAAGAGATAAACGCCACGCAAGTGAATTAGTTTTATAAATGTCAACACAAACAAGTTTGGTTTTTATTTCACAACAAGTAACTAAATACTTGTTTACTCCTATTCTGATATTCGGCGTACTTGGAGGATGTTTCAATCTTCTAATTTTCCTTAGTTTACGAACATTTCGAGAAAATTCTTGTGCATTTTATTTAACTATTGGATCATTAGCTAATATTGGTGGTTTATTGAGTGGTTTACTTTGGCGTCTTATGAATTTTGGTTACAATATTGATTGGACATCGACTTCGATATTTTATTGCAAATTTCGAGTATTCTGTCTTCAAGAATCCACACTTCTATCTTTTACGTGTATTTGTCTAGCAGCCATCGATCAATTTCTAGCAACAAGTACTCGTCTACGTTGGCAACGGTGGTGTAATACTAAAGTAGCACATCGTCTTGTTTTATTTTTCTCTTGTCTATGGATGTTACATGGAATAAGTATATTTCCATTCTATAATCATGTACTTTCTGCTGCAACGAATCAAACCGTTTGCATTGTTACAAATAGTATTCTAACAGATTACATTAACTTTGGTTATATAATTACTCTTCAAGGTATTCTACCTTACTGCGTAACGCTGTTATTTGGATACTTAGCATATCGTAATGTACAACAAATATCCTATCGAACAATACCATTAGTTCGACGTGAATTAGACAAACAATTGACTAACATTGTACTCCTACAAATTGTTTATAATTTTCTCTTTACAACACCATATATTATTATAATACTACTGCAACGTGACAGTTCGATCAACAGCAGTTCTGAAATCGCTGCCCGATTACAGTTCGCTAATGTATTGGCTCTTAGTTTGTATTTCCTAGCATTTACTGTATGTAAAAAAATGAAGAAATATTATCACGAATCTATCTAAATATGATTTGATTTTTCTGTTTTAGTGTCCTTTCTATGTTTACATTTGTATATCTGAACGATTTCGTCGTCAATTCATTTACGTCGTATCGAAAATATTTTATATCAAAGATCGACAACGGAATATGACTATTCAACCAATAGGCTAAAACAAACTGATCTCTGATAATATTATAAGTATTATTCCCGCGACTGAAAGAACAGTTTTGGGATAAAAAGCGGGGCCTATATCGGAAATGCGTTTGTATGCTTGTTGCAGATTAGAGCTCATCTTATATATACGTATATATGTATATCAAACTATGTCGAACACTTAAAAAAAATACTCAAAAGGAATTTTCTTTCGGAAAACTCCCACACTAATAGACATACGATTTCGAATGAGAAAATGTGAAAGATTAACGAGAAAAAACAAAGTGTTTGTGTCTGCTTGAATTCTTCAATGACATGCTAACGTGACGTCCATGTATCCTCAAGTAGATTATTCCAACGTCTAAAATGAGAATGTATTGCGGGAATGGGGACTAGAGACTGAAAATGTATTGGTCTCCCTCTTTGTCGGAAAGCCATCTTACTCTATATGTATATTGTCACATGATTTGTTATATCTCAGACCTATAGTACATTGTCCCAATACACTCGGGTTTCGAGTAATGTATTGTGGGGTGGCTGTTGAGGTGCTAATTCTTATTATACCTCGCGCCTTTGTAATTTCGTCTATGGTGAAAGTGAAGTGAAGCCTGACCTAATGCAGTTAGGATTGTGCGAGAGTATAGTGTTATATGTTCAGGAAGGTTTTACAAGGGAAATTCCCGGGGGTTGAGGGTGTGGGTGAGGGTGAGGGTGTGGGTGTGGGTGTGGGTGGGTGAGGGTGAGAATGATTTTTTTTAATCGTATATATGTTCATTTTATCCTCACTCTCGAAAAATAGATATTCGAAAGCTTCTTTCACAACGATAATAAATATTACTTGTCTCAACTGAAGAAGATCTCTAGTCATACGATGAATATGTTCTGATGTCTGCTGATTTCGTACATTATTATCTAATTCACGATAATATTTTGCAAATTTGGCCTTGTTGGCGAGCTAAAATAAATTACCGATAGAATATAGTAAATAGCAAAAACATTCGATAGCTTCGCCATCAGTTTTATCATGAAGGAAATATTTAATATAATCGTAAAAAAGTATTATCTGTTAACATTTCTAGTTTAAATAATTCGCCAATAAAATTAAAAGAACTTCAAAACTTTATTTCCAAATCCTCGTGTTAACTTTTGTTTATCTCTATAATTGGATTAATTTCTTTTATATGAAAATTTTCAAATTCTCTTTGACAGTCGCTTAATTAAAGTCGACGAAAATAAAGTATCGATGATTTACCATCTTCATCTGATAAAGTTACGTGTTTCTTAGTAAGAATTGGATAATATTCTATTTTGCAAAAAGAAATTATAATTTTTTCCGTAATTTTGCAATTAGATTGCTGGATTCCCGTTCGTGCATAGTCTAAAATTTCGAAGGATCACTATGCAGCAAAGGAGAAATTGTATTTATCTGTTCTTCTAGTTCTACTACACCGTCGATATCCACTGGTTCAAGTGTTTGTTCTATTTTGTCATGTTTGCGAAGTAAACTTACCTAAATTTGATATGAATTGTTAAAAAAATTCGCCACGATTGCTAATTGATGTAGCTAAAGGATTTGTATCTATTTAAAAACCAGAACATCAAACGTGCTTATACTATAAGATAATGTTTCATCGCGAAGAACTCTTTGATTAACTTCACTGGGATAGATGACTTTCATCGATAGGACAACATCACAAGAATAAGCTTTCTACATACTTGAAACATTCATCGAACAAATATCGTGTGGAGACCGTGTCCAAAACAGATCGTGATGCACTCGAAATTAATGAATATAATTTTCTATATAAATTTAAATCGAAATTAATCGTCATTCCCAACGAAAAACACGTATATTTCGAGATGTTAAATGACCATGAAGTAAATTATTGAACGCCAAAAACATCACCACAGATACGGTTTGGTTTGATGCCCGTTTTTATGCATGTAATAAATAATTCAAATCTCCAGCTGGTGTGATTTGCTGTAACAAAAAAACGCATTACTAGCACCATCATTTGATAATTCATTTGCTTATACATATATGCTAACAATCTGGAAATGACGATTAATATCGTCATAGAATGATACAGCTTTTTCTGCACGAGCGTTATATATATTTAAAAGTGCAATTTCTGGACGATTATCATCTGGTGGTAACTATTGTGTATCAATATGAGTTTTACCATATGTTGGAAATAATGATCGAACAGATTTTTTGACATCAGTTCGATGTATTTCATAATATGGATTTATATTTTCTGACGATAATGCTTCATTAGTCATTGAAATCTTGTAGTCTGAAAAAAATAAAATAATTTGTATATAGCTATTTTTATCAACATTAGTTACATGGCTAGAAGAACGAGAAACAAGGTAACTTCTTTTTGTACTGTATTGGCCTAAAAAGAATATGACGAATATTCTCTTGTTGTATAATATGCGGATTTGCATCAACGTTCGATATACGTGATCAAGATACCTATCTCAAACAGTAGATAAAGAAAATGATAATTTCACTCTAAATATGTCAAATACACAATTGAAAGATTTAAATAATTGTATGAAGAATAAACGACATTATTCTTGTGGCCTCATATATAAGTATAAACCAATAGAAGTTTCCGTCCAATGTTTTGTTGATTTCTACCATTAAATTGACGAAACATATCGATTTCTGTTTATTTATTGAGTATTGTCAATCGACAATAGTGTTTAGTATAATCTTACCATCTATTTATTTGTTGGTTTTATTCTAATCATTGACAATTTGATAAAATTTGTGCCATTGATCACAACAATCTCTATGCATATTCGGTAAAGTATCTTTAATTTGAGTCGCTGTACGTTTTTGTTTTTTAATTTATTTTTGCAAAATTGAATAAATAATTTCACATTATCTTACATATTATGTCTCTACTTACCTTATTGATTGTCAATTCAACGAAAGTGCTTATTTTTCTTATATTTTCCATCAATTCCCTGCATACATAATATGAAAAAATACTGAAAATATGATTTAATGACAAAAAAAGAAGTGAATTGAGCAATGTTCACACTTTTTTCCAGTTATATCGGTCACCGTAATGATAACAAAGGTAAAGACGTGAGCGATGTTATTAGCTATAAAAGATAGACTCTTAGCGTAGAAAAGAAATTGCTTTTCGAAAACTAATATTTACAGTTTGTGTTTTAGAAAATCAATTTAATCTTGTACAGTTTAATCATAAGGATAGTTTTCAGGCGACGAACGTTTGAATATTGAGATTATATGTAATTGTCTCTAAATATTCTTTCATTTTGTAGTAAAGAGAAGTAAAGTGATTGTAAGAAATCATTATCTGTTAGCATTAGATGATTTCTAGGAGGAAATTGTTATAGTTGACACAAAATAAATATCGTCCTTGTTGATCTTTATTCGAACGAATGCGGAGTACGTTTTACATCGATAGAAAGAAAGGAAAAAATGATGCTTTCATCAACGCACTCTATGTAACTATCACGTGGTGGAGAGAATACAAAGAAAAACCTGAAACATATAAACTTTTTTCTTTCTATACATTCTCTTAGAACGCTTTATCACGATCAGAAGTAAATAGTCAGGATGGAAGAAGAGCCAGAACCAGATTCAATTCAGCTCACATCTATGGAAAAGACTCACGTGTAAGAATTTTTAAAGAAATTGAAAGAGGCATTTGAGCCTTTGTTAAGAATTAATGAATAGATTTTTTTATCGATTATTAATATTACATTAACTGATATTGTACCAACTCATTCATATACGATCAATTATCAAATGAATTTCATTGATTTGAGAATCGTTTCTGTAAATAATTCTAATGTTTTTATGCTTTCGTCGTTATGAACCGCATAATACTAATGATACAATGATAGGTACACATAATCTGACTGAATCTGAGCGTGATTTATTTAAAGCCGTGAGTAATAAAAACATATTTCTTATTAATTTTCGTTGTTGTCGCTACTTTTCAAGTTTCAATCGGTCATTGCTGATCAGATTCGTTCACATTCTTCTGATTTACTACCTGTTGATGATTCTGAACTTGAGCCTATTAGTGTCTACACTGAGATCAATGATGATTCTCGTTTTCATTTTCAAGTGAGTGTGAGGAGTAGAATACACAAATAGTTGAGTGAATAGTATTGTGCTTTGAGTTGTATGTAGAAAGCAAATCAATTGTATACTTCATATTTCAAGGTTTAAGAGTAGGATACTGTTTGTATCGTCATAATATATGCAACTGGCACAATGGATGGTAAGACGGAGCATAAGCAATAGAAAAGTGTCTACAGTCGCTTCATAATAAAAACAAAGAGTAGTTTACATCGACTCTAATGAAACTACTTTATGTAGGTTTAATTTGTTGGTAATCTATCTGATGTTTGAATATATAACGAGCAGTATTATTTGTAAGTTGAAAATAGTCGGACAATATCCTATCAACATGCAGTATCATAGTTCTATTACATGTTTAAATTTGTCCAGCACTACCACCAACAAAAAGTTCAATAGCAGTGATATATAAACTATCATTTGAATCTAAGAATACAACAGCTTTCACAATTTTAATTGGCCTACCAAGTCGATTCATAACAGCTGTATTACCTATATTATTCATTAGATTTGTGTCAGTATAATCTGGACTAACAGCATCAACCTGAATTTTACGATCTTTTAGATCAATACACTAGCAGCGTACAAATAATCGAACAGCAGCTTTAATTGAATCTCCATTATTTAGACTAGGTAAAGCTTATTGACCAATAAATATATCATCATACAATTGTTCTGTTATTTTATGGAACGGCGTTCCACTAACAATACCTGTATTAACTAAAACCATATCAAATTTTCCCTGTTCTTGTTTAATTATCTTACAAACATAATCAAGATCTTCTAATTTCGATGAATCAGCTTTAATTGCTGAAATATTTTTACCAATCTGGTTTACTGTAGCATCGATCGAGTGTTTCTTGTGGGTGATCAAATATATACATATACACCTTCAACGACAAATTCTTGAACAGTTGTTAAAACAATGCATTTTTCCATCAAGCTTAACCGTATGTAAAAATATTTCTATATTAAAAATAAAGTACATGATTTATTTAAATTTAATCTTGAAGAAAAAATGAAGAAAAAGCTCTTAATATGGTATTGGTTGATTAGCTCTAATCCATTCTTTTTTTCATTTGAGGATTCCTTTATCGGTGGAATAATTCCTTTTTCTCGCCATACAACTTCTCGTACCCCTTCAAAATGTACCTTAAAAACCGAAAGGTATTATTCTAAAAGTATAACCATGTTGTCTTCTACTTCTCAATCATAATCTTTTCCTTCAATAAATGGTGCAATAGTATTTTCATATTTTTCTGAAAACACTTTTTTCCTTTCATCATCTCGAAGCCGTCTTGTAAGATGTTGAACTACTAGCCGAATAAATTTATCTATTGATTGGCCAGCGACAAAAAATTAATTGCCATCAATACGTATCAAAAGAGCGGCCACATAAAATGCTGGTAAACCTCTATCTGTATATATTTTATTTATACGTTCAGAAAGTGTTGTTTTTTTCTGCTGTTGTAAAAGCACCTACAGAAAGAAAAATTTGATGTGATGGCATTTTATTGATGTTCGTTTAGTGAGCGAAATAGAGTGATATTTATACGAATAAAACTTTAGCTTCGTCACTATATATCAAGTATTATCATTATGCTATAATTCACTACCGATTCTTTTTAATTCGTTATCTATTCTTAATTTACGAATATTTTCTTCACCATTAAAAGAAATTAATCCAAACTCAATGCGTATATGTTTATTTTAGCAACAATCATGACACTTAAAGTATTGTAAAGAGAGACGAGGTTAATATCCATTTATACCCACGTTATTTATAAATAGCTCTCGGAATCCTTATAAAAATATAACAATTTTTTGTTGACTAAATTAAAAAGAATTTCTACAAGTTTCAATACAAAATAGTGCAGGATACAAATGAATAACGAGATTATCATGCAATTTGTTATCGAATAAACGCAGAAACTTCGGATTTTATTCAAAACTTAGATGTATTGTAAAAACTGTATCAGATGCAAGACATAATAAGTCGTAGAAAATTATGAATCGTTTTTCAATAAGTCTCATCTTTGAATTACAGCAAAATTCTGATACAACAACACACCATTTGAAAATTTCATCGCAATCGAATTAGGCTTTCATAAATTATCGTGTAAACCAACGGTAGAGAGCACATTGATTCGTTCGAATAATGTGCTTGCCTTCTCATTCTCAGTATACTATAATGCTAAAATGTTTTGAATTTGGACTTAGTAATATATTGTTGACACTTTGATTCTCCTCAAGCGAAGCACAGGTTTTCACAAAAAATGATTTGGGAAGTTTGACCTAGGTCCGTCCTCTCATCCTCACACCCTTTATCGGCAAGACAATAAAACTCTCATTCTTCTCTTGGCAAATAATGTTTGAATAATTGCAATCTTTGCACATGTTCTTTAGCAAACATCTTATCTCGAAACGATTTTATCAAAGGTACGACTTATAACAGCAACATTTAAGCTAAAAGTAATAAGTTTTTCTTTAAAATGCCGTTTCGAGATCATTGGCGAGATGTCCAAACTCTACAAAATGATGGAATTCCTATTGATACGACAAGCAATGAGACAGCAAAGCTATTCGACGCCACATTAACGCAATACGTAGGTTGGTAAGTTGATGGAGGCCATCACTTCTTAGAACATAGAATATTCTTTGTTTTGTAAGGTATTCTGATCAGCAGTTGGGTGGTATAAAGTCGAGTCTGACTCGTCTTCTCGCTTCGGATCCAGAATGTGGTATTAGTCGCATTCTAACTGCTGCTCTTGGACTATTCTCAACGCCACAATCATCTGCACAGGCTCACGCGCAAGTAGTTGAGATTATCGGTGACACGGTCAATTCGTCGAACCAATACGTTAAATTACACGCCCAGTCTCTCCTCGACTGGTCTTGTGGCTATCGATCGCGTGCTACCGAGGTATGGGAAACTATCCTTCTCGATCATCCTTTTGATATTATGACGTTAAAATTCGCTTTGGATACTTACTTTCATTTGGGCAATCAGAATATGCTTAGAGATTCAGTTGCACGAATATTACCCATCTGGGAATCATCCACATCACAGCGTCCATTGCAATCGTACTTGTATGGAATGCATGCATTTGGTTTGGTTGAAACGAATATGGTGGAACGAGCTGAAAAACAAGCACGACTAGGACTGGACCTCAACGAACACGATGGGTGGGCGACACACGCTTTGGCGCACTGTATGGAGTATAAGGGCCAAACGTCACAAGGAATAGACTTTTTAGAGAAAACAGAAAATCATTGGCGTCAATGCGACATTCTTGCACCTCACATTGACTGGCATTGTGCTATATATGAACTAGAACAAGACAACTAGGAGAAAGCACAAACGATTCTGCAACACTGTTTTTTGAAAAACAATGGAACAGAATTGAATCGAATAAAGTACACTGACGCTGCTGCACTTATCTATCGCTTGAAATTGGCTGGACATCCCCTTCCGTCACAATCAAACACAGAACTAAAACAATTTCTCGATGCTCATCTGGATGATCATCAAACATTATTTCACGATTTTCATCACTACTACGTTTTAGATCATTTCATGGACATAGAGAAGAAAAGACACTTCATTCACTCCCTAGAAGAAACTGTTCAGTCATCTGATACTGACACAGCCAAAGCCTATCATCAAATCGGTGGTCCTGTCTTCACTGCACTCGAGCGTTTTACCTAAGGAGATTATGCGCAAGTAGTGAATCTTCTGTATCCAGTTCGTCACCAAACTGCTTGCGCAGGTGGATCGAATGCACAACGGGATATTTTTAATTTGATTCTGATCCACTCAGCTGTGTATTCAAATGATAGACAACATCGAAAAATAGCCCAACGATTGATCAACGAACGATGCGCAATGCGTTGGTCAACGAAAACGAAAATAATGGAAAACTATGAGAACGCAATCGAACTAAATTGAGTTCTTGAGGAAGTGTGAGAAAAATTCATTTCTCATCTGATCATGTTCAATAGGAAAGTGCCACTCATTTTCATTTTGAACCTATAAATAATATCGATTCACATTCAACAAAACGCTCATGATTTATTCATCAGTATAAATTCTATTATCAAAACAATAACATTTTCTTAAAAAAGGACATCCTCAGTAGATATACCGCAGAGATTTTCTGAAGAAAGTAGATGCACTCGGTGAAAAATCACACACATCAACGTTTAGTTGTTAGTTAAAAATACGACTATATTATCTATGACAGAACTTCAGAACTTTCGACAATTATTAATTTTTGAGGTTTGGGCATGTTTACCGATTAGTGCATAAAACTGAAATGATAAAAACGCATTTGCTTTATTGCAAACGCAAAGAGTGTAATTGCAGGAATGTGTAACTTTTAAGAATAGGATGATTGCTCCATTAAAGAATCTGATATGTGACAATTATGCAGGATTTTTAGCTATATTCAGGTTTATTATAAAGTTTTCACCATCCCAACATCAAAGAGGATAACAATGACGAAAATTTTGTATATTATTAACATAAATATCAAGTAAATCTTTACTAAGAAGATCCATCAATCCTTGTGGAATATCTTTTGCATATTGAATCATTCTTGTGACATCTGTAGAAACAATCATTGAATGAACATTGTGATTACAAAATCGTTGTGTATAATTATAGAATTGAACAAGAAATAAATATTGACCAGCAAGATTACGACGCAAGTGACCACCGCAAGTTAACCCTTTACTTACGGTTTTTTTTCAAGAAGAACCGTTTCTTTTCTTTTTAAAGCAGTTTGAAATAACTTTTGTTAATATATAGAAGTTTTTAAAAGTGTTTTAAAGTATGATATTCCTCAAAACAAGCTACCACACAAAGCCCGACGTTACAAACATCACATTGATAACGCGTATAGATACATTTTTTCTCCCGTCTGTTTATATGATTGCAAACTATACAAGCTCTTCGTCCGGCGTTTCTTGTTGCTATTTCTGGAACCAGAGTATCGTTCGATCAATTGTCGAATCATTCTCGGTTTGTGAATTATAGACAACATAAGAACGTCTCGCTTATTTTGCCATTTCAAAACCATAAGAATTTTAATATTGTTACAGTCAAAAGTACCTTTCGTCAATGGAATGAACATTACTGGGCCAAGACGATTTTTGCGTATAGTTTCACATACACCTGTTTTGAGTTTATGTATTCTTCCGAATAGGAGAGGACTAGTATACCAGTTGCCGAGAAAAAGTGAATGTCCATTGTTCAAATACAGCTTCATTAAAGTCATCACTACACAACCGAATATTCTTAAATTTTTGTCGAGCTCAAATTCTGTAGAAGAACCCGTGTCTACAACGAAATCCAAAACCATTCCTGTTTGGCAGTCGCAGATAACGAGACTTTCATCTGTGCATAAGTTTTTGAAAGAAACAATAAGTAATTTGAATTTCTTGCGTAGCTCATTTATTATTGGTTTTTGATTTATTGCTAAAATGCAAATATTTCAAAAGTATCACAAATCTGTCTCTTGGAAATAGTTGTCCGAACGTAGGTGTGATAATCAATGGATCAGTTGACCAGTAGTCGAAGATTTTATTCTTTTTAGCTATGGTCATTAGCGTAAAGGTTGCTAGAAAAGTGTATATTTCCGGACAATTTGTCGGGACCCATTTCATCTGATGTGTTACATCATCCGTAGAAAAGTCATGATACTTGTTCGTTTGTTCCACCATGATGTAAGTTTTTTTTGTCAAATAGTAATTCAAAATAATCAAGAGAAGTATGATTTTTCATAGCGCTAATTTTTGACGAAACACCAGAGTTTGGCTCGTCGAAGTGAAACAGATGTAGTTCCAAAGTAGTTTTACTCCAGTTTCGATTTACAGATTCTTCTTTCTGTGTTATTTCGTTGCTATCCACGTCTGATGAATATACTTCATCAATATCGATTTTGAAATCGTTTTCAGATCTGCTATCTATCTCAATTTCATGCAAAATCTTTTGCGAAAATTTACGCAAAAGAAAAGTTTATTTGGATTCTCTAAGAATATATATCGGAAGATACGATTAGCTTCTTGTGTAGAATGTGCAGTTTCATATATATGAGAGAACGTGTAGAAATGAGAAGCAGACGTGTCAAAATGCAAGAAAGAGAGCATAAACGCGCACAGTTATTGGGGGCGATGACGTAATAATATTACCAAGATACAAAAAAAAGATAGGAGTCTTTCCCATCAAGTCTAAATGATACTGTAATGGCAGCAATATGTGCAAAACTTTAAACACCATACATTGTTGATCCATAATCAAAGGGTTAATTTAATATAAAGTAGACAATGTTTTTCTTTGGGATATAAAAATGTGGCAAAAGTTGCAGAAGCTTTCCTAGCTAATTTCTGCATTAAAGACTTTACTCTTTTAAAGAAAACAAAATTCAAATCACTATCACTTTCCATTGGCAAGTTATATCACAAGCAAAATTAATGCAAAACTTTTGTCCCACCCGTTATACATTTTCAATATATAGACATCTGCGTAGATACACTTTCTTTTACTATCATACTTTTCTAATAATAAACGTTAATAAGACTAGAATGATTGGAATATTGAGATGGAGAATAGAGTATACAAGTGAGCCGATATATTTGTACATGGATTTATGGACGCAGGAATCTTTACATATAGTCTTTCGCGGATCAAGAATGAAAGGCGAATAAATTTCAGGACTTTTTTGTTCATCAAACTTTGTAGAGGCTCATTCGCCGATCATTTAAATACAAGGAAAAGTTTTTTTTGTATTTCATCAAAAGCGACAGTGTTAGAATCAGAATACTTGTAAAAAGATAATTCGAGCAGGTAGAACTGTGTCAGTTCCTTTATGTTTTTCTCCAGCACAGTCAGTTGTTTATAAAAATTTGATAACTAGATCACAAAGAAAGAACTTGTTGATTTCCGTCCGAAAAAATATTCTCATGACGAAAAGCAAATAATGCATATCGATGATTTTAATGAAGATTATCATTAGCAATGTGACTTCAATGGTATATTGAACCATATTTTGTTTATCAAATAGGAATCGAAGAAAAACGAAAGACAATATCAATGATCTTCGATATCATTTTATAATTTTTTTTCTTTGTAAGTAGTTGTCTTAAGAAGACAAAGGAATCTGATAATCTATTCAAACAATATTTCGATTGAATCCATTCGAAATAAATGGCTATCACTTTTGGTAAATCAATTTAACATTGGCCACAAATGAAGACGAAGAATCACAACTCTCAACCGAAGATATATGGAAATCCATTCATAATGACAATTCATGGTATTCTTTAGAACATGTGAAGATGATAGAACAGAAATACCATATCTTTATCATTAATTAAATATGTTCAGTATGACCGAAGGGTATACAAAGACGCATTGGTGTTCTCTAACAAAGAATTAGATTTTTTTCTTTGGCTGATATTCATTGTGGTATTGGTACAATTCATAATATAATAGAATTATATAAAGAACTAACTATTTGCGAAAGATCGCTTTCACCAAATCACCTTCATTTCATAAATGATCATCATGCACATGACATCCATGGAACGTGGTTACCTTATCTAAACTCGATTCTTACCTTAGTAGAAGAAGTTATAAAGTGTAAACACACTCCTTCTTATTTTTATTACACTTATATGACAGTCGGATCCGTATTTTATAGTACTATTACGATTTATAATTGTAATAAAATTGTAAATTTATTTCGTATGTAAAATAATAAGTCAATATCAAAAATCTATTTTCTCTCAAATTGTCAAAATACATATTTTCATAATTAACAATGCTTCTTTTAGAAAAACAACGTCTATCGCCAATTCAATATAGTCCGACCATTGAGGATGGGTGTTATGAGAGTTATTTTTCTGTCCTAAGTGAAATCTGTATGCATGAACTAGTTATTGACGTTTTTCATAAACAAATCATGAAAAGTTAAGAAAGTTTATGGAATAAAAATATCCTTAATTCGATATTTACCCTTGATAAGTGCATCTTATATTTTTAGACGCATCAAATGCTATCTATTCTAGTCAGGCATTATAAAGAAGGTTTAATTAAGTATCAATATTCATTGGTGACAATTATAAAATAAAATTTGCATGGTTCTCTTTTCATCAACTTAAATCCATGATCTTGACAGTTGACAGTGCTGAATGGTCTCGAAGTCATGCAAACTAATTTATATATAACCGTTTCCATCATTTGAATAAAAATACTTTTGTAAAAAGATGTCTTCGGATAATGCTACAATTGCTACTTTGACGACAATTCAAGGATATCTACAAAAATACTTCGGTATAACTATAATTACTATCACTTCAATTGGAAATATATGTAATTTTATCGTATTCCTTCGTATTCCACCATTAAATAAACATCCTAATGCATTATTTGTTATCGCTTCATCTATTGGAAGTTTTATTTTTGTAAATGCTGCTTTATGGACAACAATCATAAATCAGTTTGCTCAATTTAACTTGACAACTCGTTCATTATTTTGGTGTAAAATATATACATGGTTTTATTATTCAAGTGGCTGCTTCAGTTTTATGTGTCATTGTTTTGCAGCATTGGGACAATGTCTTTTAGTTTCACAAAAAATTCAATGGCAACAATTTTTAACGCGTTTGAAAGCAAAGTTAATTATTATAACCACGGCTATGATTTGGCTATTAATATTTGTTCCATTACCAATTTATAATAATCTCATTCAAATATCATCAGGAACGTATTCATGTCGAAATTCTCTCCAAATAATAAGTCTTTACATTAATTATTGGGTTATAATTGGTTATTATTTATTGCCAACTCTATTAATTTTAATATTATTTATTTTAACATGGTACAACTTACGACAATTATTACAACGACGTCGTAATATTGAAGGTGTAATAACACGTATGATGTTAATTCAAATGTTTGTTATACTGTTGTGCGGAATTCCTGCAGCTATATGCATAATTTATTTATTATCTACATCGAATATGTCGAAAACCCGTTTAAGATCATCATATGAAAGTACAATGAATCTTATTTTTACTTTATTGACCTTTTTAACAAACGGAATATCGTTTTGGATTTATTTATTCACATCTCAATCATTTCGCAAACATTTAAAAGAATTTTTATTGAGAGTAAAATTATTCAGTGATCGTATAGAACCATTATCAATAATGAACACATAACATAAACACATTTATTATGTAAAAACATTTTCATGCTACTTTCTGTTTCACGCAAAATACATATCCGTTCATCTTCTTTCGCCCGGAATTATCTTCAGAGAAAAACATAGCATGATGATGTTCATTTATTCCTTCATGGTAAACTCCTACATTATTTAAACTTCTAGTAATCGAGAAATGATCTGAAGGATATCATTTTTCTTCCATTGCCAAAGAGAGTTCTTCGCGAATATCAGTACATCTCGTACTCTTATTTGTTCTGTGAGCAGAGACATTTCCGCTCATCTGTCATCCTACAATCTATGTAAAACAACTAATGAGGGAACCACCCGGAGTGTGATGGGTAGGTGGGGCATACCTAGGTATGATATATCCTAAGTTGCTTTTAGCAAAAGTTATCAATTTTTCAAGTTACAAGCGATATTTACAGTTTTACCAAAAATTCAATTTTTTCCATATAAGAAAAAGTGTTTATTCGTCTGATGGGTATATTTTTGAGAATGAAATGAATTTATCCTATTCTGTACATGTGTGAGTATCAAATAAAGAGGGAGAGTGTGTGAAAGAAACTATTTATCATTTATCAGTCGGTATTCGTGTTTTATCAAGAATACATGGTAAGTTCAGAACAGCTTCGAGCGTGCTCGGAATCTTTTCTGTGCGGTACATGATATTGATTTAAAAAGATGGGCTGTGCAAAAAGCAAGGATGATGTCATTGCATAGTTTCGTGGCGTCAGATCATTGGATCTTGAATTTTGAACACAAACACAATATTTGCGCGAGAAAGATGATAAAGATTAGGAAACAAATCATACCAACCATACGAAAGTTTTACATGACAAGTTGATCTGTAAATCGCTTCTTTTCTAGGTAGTAACAGAGCGTGAGATTGTCAATGAAGCTGAAATTCAAAAATCCGCTGATCAATTTGTTTCTGCAGCTAAATCATTGTTACCTTATTATAATGATGATTTCCTATTGAATACAGATCAAGCAGGACTTCAGCTTGAGTTTCCTTCAACTCGAACTCTCTCATATCAAGGAGAAAGTATGTTCAATAAATGGTCGAATGAGCGATAATATTCAAGCAAATCTTCCGCAGTTGAATATTGGCGTAATGAGTGTCTTATTCCATCACTGACATCACAGCCTGTATTACTTCTTTCTGATAATTGGCCTGGAGAGACATATGGAAAAGGCATTTATGAATCTATTAATAGACTTAAGCGACTAGAAACTTCATGGAAAACAACTTCTACCATTCAACCACTGGACGTCTTCTTTAATAGACAATGGAAAGTGATCGTTCGTAGGGTTTCACGAGCGTGTTCTTCTTGATGAAATAGATATTCATCTTGCACAAAGAAATAATATCACTCGCTTACGATCGATTATTCATAATCAACTTTCTTCCCCAGTTTTCGTTTCTGTGATACGATATACATGGTTCAAAAGTGGGTACACTGATGTTGATCCTCGATCATTTCAATCAGTTTCACAAGTATGCTTCAAATTCATTCGATGTAGTCACTGTAGCAAAATATTTTCTTCTGAGGACTTTTCCCTCAATTTTCATATCCATGACATCTGACTAATCTCAACCATTGTTCTATTTTCATTGTTATTCCATTATGCTTGCTATTTTTGCCATAGTAATTACGCATACATTTTCTTATATAGAAAAAATTGAATTTTTGGTAAAGCTGTAAATATCGCTTGTAACTTAAAAAATTGATAACTTTTGCTAAAAGCAACTTAGGATATATCATACCTAGATATGCCCTCCCTACCCATCACACTCCGGGTGGTTCCCTCGTTAGAGAAGAAAAAGTATCTTAGTTATTATCGAAAGTGAAGCAAAAAGATAATGGCAGATTTTAGTGGGAATGTATTCAGATCCTATCAAAGAATATTATTTATATCCATGGAAAAATGGAAAGAGATTTTTAACTTTTTATCTCCTTCCAATCTTGTTCATTATCGTACTTAGTTTTGATCTTTTAATTAGCATTTTCATGCAGAAATGTCATTTGCAAAGAAATTTTCGATGACCGTAACATAAAAAATCGTTAATGCAATTTGTTGTCGTTAATGAAATGAATAGGAAGATTCAAATTCTGTATTTTTCTACATAAATAAATAAATGATATTGTTCTGGAAATATGTAAAGCCATGTTGAATCTTTAGCAGTTTTTCAAAGTTTTAAAAACATAATTAACAAATTAGATCGAGCTCTAAAAATACTGGAACTTGCTTAGTTCTTTTATCTAATTATTTGATAATATCTCAGCAAATTATGCACGTCAATCTTCAGTTTTTTATAGCAGATATTTTTAACAATTTTATTTACTGTACTTAGGATATCCAGAAAGTCACTAGAATTGGCGGAAAAGGTCATTTGTGAGAATGAGTTCAGCACACTTTTCCTCAACACAAGACCAGTCTATATCAGCAGCATCAAGTGCCGTAGAGCGACACTTTAGCAGTGCTAGTTTTATTTGAAACGAACGAAGATTTTCTTTCGATTCAAAACATACTGACAATATATGGTACATCCGAGTTTTAGAAAAATTCAAACGACAGTTTTTTAAAATATTTTTTATCGTATGCTTAGTTGATTGCCTATTTATGATCATAGCCACGATTTTCTTCTTGTTTTCAATTTCATTCACAGAAGATTGTTATATTAATATGCTAAAAACGTATGAACTTATGTGGATTTTACGTCTCTATTTTGCTTTCGAAATAAAGGATAGCCAAGAGAATGAAATAATATAATCCATCTTACGAGGAGCCTATGCAAACTAATTTAGAGAAATCATTGTTCAACCTTTTCACATCAATTCTTTTCCCAATATACGTTTTAATTGAGTAGAAGCCTTACAATCTTTGATAAATACGATAAGAATCTGAAATATTGCAATATATTACAGGTAAGCTCATTAGCAAGATCTTCAAATTTTTAGAGAATTATGTTTTTTTTTGTGGATTGAAATTCGATAATATGTAAGAAAAACCAAGAACGTTGGCGTTGATTGTTATTAGATGAGTTATTTGAAAAGAACTTGATATTGCAATGCTATGTTCGATGATTTTTAAATGTTCTACAGAATTTTTTGATTTCATTGGAAAAAATCGGTACTATGTCAGTTTATTTTTCTGTTGCTGGCATTAAAATTCTATTGAAATTTTGTTCTAACTGAATCACTTATGTATAGCAGTAAATATCTACACAAAATAATGTTATAATGTTGATATCTTTTGTTTTATCTTAAATAGAGCAATTTACAAAATTCGGAATCCTCCAGTCCCTCACATCAACGCCATCTTTCTGCACAAACTAGCCATTCGTTCTTTTATATTCGTAATACAAACTACTTGTCATAGCTAAAAACATATATTCAATGGTTTGTCATCATAACAAGTCTTCTACAGAATTTTAAAAATATGTATACATTTTTAACATTACCTATCGAACTCGTTTACCGAATTATGGATTATCAAAGTGATTTTACACTATTCTATTCAATGCAAAACGTTTGCCAACGTCTGAATCAAATTCTTAACACTTATCATCGATACCAAGTAATCACCCATACCCAACCTACTCAAGAAATAGGTTCTTCAGCTACATCGAAAACGTTCATTTAAATTTGAAACTCCGTTATATACATTTCCAAAATACATATTTTCCATCTAGACATTGACCACACTAGATCTCTCAGCAAAACAAATCCGTGATCGAGAAGCACAACATATAGGCTATGCATTGCGCACTAACAAGGTAATATCCATTTACTATTTATACAATTCCCATTCATATTTTATCTCGTCTATAGACTCTCGCCATACTAGAACTTGGCAGGAACCACATCGGCATTGAAGGGATACAATATATTGCGGATGCCTTGCGAACTAATACAGTAATTTCCATCGAGCTTGCACAGCATTCACATAATCGTGCTCTCTCTCTTGTCTGCAGACACTCACTACACTAGATCTTCGTAAAAATATAATTGGTGATCAAGCAGTACAACATATGAGTAATGCATTGCGAAGCAACACAGTAATATTCAATTAGTCTTCACACAACCAATACATTCATTGTTTCTTTTGTCTACAGACGATCACTGAATTATATCTCAAAGGCAACAAAATTGGTCATCAAGGCGCACAATATCTTAGTGATGCTTTGCGAACAAACATGGTAATGTTTATTCACTCTTGTTAGAACTCAGATACTCATGCTTTCCTTCTCTCTTTTTTAGACACTCACTACACTACATCTCAGCTTTAATGAAATCGCCGATGAAGGAGCAGAACATCTAGCTGATGCATTGCAAGCGAACACGGTAATATTGATTTACTGTTCACAGAATTCTGATTCACGTTCTATTTGTCACCTACAGACATTAACCAGACTACATCTTACTTCGAATCAAATTCACCATAAAGGAGCACAACATATCGGTGATGCTTTACGCGTGAACAATGTAATATTCATTCATTCTTCGCCAAACCCACAAATTCGTGCTCTTTTTCGTTTACAGATACTCGCCACACTGTATCTCAGCGAGAACTATATCGGCAATAAAGGATCACAGCATATTGGTGATGCATTGCGATCAAATACGGTAATAGTTCTAATTACACTGCTCGCACAACGCGCACATTAATGATTTCTCTCATCTACAGGGACTCACCAAACTAAGACTCGATTGTAATCAAATCGATGGACAAGGATCAGAACATATTGGTTATGGATTGCGATCCAACACTGTAATATTCATTCAATCTTCATCAAACTCATACATTCATATTTTCACTCTCTCGTTTACAGACACTCGTCACACTTGATCTCCGTTATAATCAAATTAGCCGTCAAGGTGCAGAACATATTGCTGACGCTTTACGAACGAATGCGGTAACATAAATTCATTTTTTGATAGAGCTCACACATTCATTTTTTTCTGTCGCCTTCAGGTACTCATTACACTACATCTCCACTGTAATAGAATTGGCGATCAAGGTGCACAACATATTGCGGATGCTTTGCGAACGAATAAGGTAATATTCATTTACTTTTCACTGTACTCAGTCAAAAATTATTGACAGCTTTAGCTTATAGAACTTTAAACGCGGAAATAAGAGAATATAATCAGAATTGATTGGAAGTCATCTTTTATTAGTCTATAAAAAATTTGTGTCCTTGTTTCGAGAGAAAGGATCCTTTTTTCACTATATGATCTTCCTGGCTTTTTATGGGGAAATCGCGAGTTCCGAGACTTTCATACTGGCAAGCTTGAACTCTTTTGTTCATAGACACTTGCCATATTACATCTCAATTCTAATCAAATCGGCGATGAAGGAGGACAACATCTTGGTGATGCGTTACGAACGAACACGGTACTATTGATTTACTGTACACATAACTCACACATCCATGATCTTTCTTATCTACAGGCACTTATTACATTAGATTTCGGCAACAATCTGATCGGGGATCAAGGAGCACAATATATTGGTGGTGGATTGCAAACGAACGCAGTAATGTTCACCCTATACGCATGGAACTTACACATTCATATTCTATCTCTTATCTACAGACATTGACCTCACTACATCTCAGTAACAATCAGATCGGGCATCAAGGGATACGGCATATTAGTGATGCACTACGAGTGAACGTAGTAATATTTGTTCAGTTTGCACATAGCTATCGCATTCATACTCTCTGATTTATAGACACTTACTACACTCGATCTCGGTTCGAATCAATTCGGTGACGAAGGAGCACAACATCTTGCTGATGCATTGCGAACGAATAGGGTGATATTGATTCACATATCATAAAACTCACAGATTCAAGTTTTCTCATATATCGACAGACACTCAATACGCTAAATATCCACTATAATGAAATCGGTGATCAAGGTGCACAATATCTTGCTGACGCGTTGAAGACCAACATAGTAATTCATTCACTCTTAATGAAACTTACATATCAATCGTCTCTCTCTCTCTCTCTCTCTCTCTCGTCTACAGACACTCACTGAACTACAACTTAACAATAATAAAGTTGGCGATCAAGCAGCACAACATATTGCTGATGCGTTGCGAACGAATATGGTAATTATTGTTCAATGTTTACACAATTCATAATTCATGATCTCTTGTTTACAGACACTTATCACATTATATCTCAGTTGGAATCAAATCAGTGATCAAGGAGTACAATATCTTGACGATGCGTTGCGAGCAAATACAGTAATATGCATTTACAGTTTGTACAACTCACACATACATATTGTCTCGTCTACAGACCCTCACCACACTAAACCTATATTGGAATCAAATTAGCTCTGCACGAGTACAAAATTTTCGAGATACTTTTGTAGACAGGGTGAAATGTTAGTTCTGGTGTGATAGAGATTGCCTTGAAATCCTATTTCACATCAGATAGGTGGACGAGAAAAGGAAATATACTTTTGTTCTCGGAAGTTGTACTATTTTAAAAGTATGACTACCCAAAGGAAAAATATATTTGTGTTAAAAATTATGAATTTTTTGAAACCTTCTCTGGTTTTACGGAAGTTGGTAATATGATTGGTGCCATTGGCATTGTATTTGTGCCCATTGGTTCTCCTTCAAAAATTCCATTGAATAAAAAAGTATGATAGTAGTTCAAATATGAACATAATAATGGTGAACATTGTTCATAATATGATGAATAATTGATTTTTGTTGTCCATCGTTCAACAAACAGATCATCAACAAATTTACTAATAGTTGTATTCATTAAAAATCGACTCGTCGTGATTGGTAGTGCATTTGATGNGATGCATATACACGTATCGAGGATAAAGAAAGATCAAAGAAAATTTTTCTCGGAACGTTTTCCGGTGAATGAAAATGTCACCATTGGACTCAGAATTAAATTCTGCATCGAATACACTCGGTTTTATCGACCGGAATTCGTTTTCAGAAAATCCTTAGTTTGATGGTGCTAGCTCGATGGTGCTAGCTTCACACCGATAAATTAGTCGTACTGGCGTAGGTTCATTTGATGGTCTTCCTCTTTTGACTATGTGTCCTGGAAGATTATCATCTAGATTTTGTTCCAATAGGGAACGAACAAGAGCTATGCGGAATTGAAGTTGAGTCATAACAGTATTGCTTGTTTCTTGAGTTTTTATTTTATATAATTGGTATGAATTCAATATAGCAAAATCAAGTAAAACCATAAATATTTTCTTATAATATTTTTTTCAATCTCTTTCGAGGAATACTGTAAGCAGCTGTCAGTTGATCGGTCATATCAATTCTACCCATCGTATCATTATATTCATGGATACATGTTGGCTTCTCAATTTGAATTTGATGTTTCTGAATGATTGTAGTATCATTTTTATGATATGTTGATAACATATGAACATATTTCTTGTCATGGCATTTCAATGCCATCAATTTATTGTAATATCTTGCGATTCGTTCATTCTTTCGAAGTTTAGCAGTTTTGAAATCAGACGGAAGACTTTTTCGATTACAACAAACTGTTCCAACAGCATCTGTATTTCTTTTTACCAGTTGTAAAAACAGTTGTGGCGATGAATAATAATTATCCATTACAATACAATGTCCTACGTCTTAGTAATCCTCTACCAATGTCATTACTATTCGACTTAGTAAAGGTAAATCATTATATTTCTTATTATAATTTGTATCATGACCAGTATAAATAATAAAATCAAGAATATAACCATTTATATCACATAGCATAAAAAATTTAAATCCAAATCGTGCTCTTTTCAAAGGAATATATTGTTTTCAAAATAGACGGCCCTTATATAAATGTAAACTTTCATCAACATTCAAAACTCTTCCTGGTCTGTAGAGTCTCTTGAATGATGAACGTAAAATCTCAACAACTGGCACAATCTTTTTCAATGTGTTGTCTGAATCTTGATCGGTTTGAAAATGTAACATCTTAAGTAACAACTGAAACCTGTCGACTGTCATAATTTTGTTGAAAATCGGCGTAGCTAATAACTCATCAGTTGTGAAGTACATTTGAAGCTCTGGTTTCTTTATAATTTCCTGTAATATCAGTAAACTAAGGAAAACATTAAATTCTTCAATACTGGTTCTCTCCCATTGGTTCACGCGTGAACGTCGAGAATGAGGCTCATTGCATATATTTTCAGCGTATTGATTTGTCTCATGAACAATTATTTGTACGAGATGCTGAGGAAAAACATGATTCCAGAAATCAATAGGACTTTGTGCTTTTTCGACTAAAACTTCACGGTTGCCAACTAACTGAAATGGATCTCTATTGATTGTTGGAGTAGTTGTCCATTTAGTTACATCAATCTCATCATCAGTCTCAGATGAGGATGTACTGTATGCCAACAAACTGTCGTCACTATCACTGTAAGAATCGGTACTTGAGTTCATACTAATTTTGCGCAAAAAAGTTGATCGAGCAGCAAAGAATTTGTGGAAATGAAAATATATTACTTTAGAATAACATCAAAAGAATAGCATATTGTTATCTGAGCTATTAGATATATATATATATATGTATATACTAGAATGAAAGCCTTCCGATATGTTCGGGACTAAAAATATTACGTAATATCTTCGACAATCTTCTAGATCTTTCAACAGTGTTCCTGGAACAGTCACAACTAGTATTCGAGAATTCATTGGACAAAATGAATCATCATATATACAAATAGTCGTAAAGGCGACACAATCGATGAGAAACGATATGATGAGCTCCATTTAGTGCAGAACGTTAAATTGGATATAGACCACATGAAAAAAATAGGATTTAGAAATAATAGTCTTTGTTTTTTCTATAAATATTCCTTCGACGAATATATTCGTCAATCACAGTTAAGGGGTTAACGCCAACTTCGCCAGTTTCATTGATGAAAAAATTAAAGAGTGATATTGCTGATCCACTATCATCAGAAGAAATGCCAGATTATCTACTGAATGATAGTCGAACATTTGAACAGTACATGGACGAGTCACCGTCGATTGAAGATCTACGACAGATTGCATATTTCGAACATAAATCAGCACTAATTGAATTACATCTTCTATTTTGGACAGCTCATTTGAATTCGGGTACTGGTCAATTGTTAATTACGGAATCAGCTGCATGGCAAATTTCGAAATCGTCTACTCGTCGAATCGGACGAGCTCGATTTCAATATTGGTCGGATAAAATAAAAGCAATCATACTTGCTGATGATCAAGTCAAGGTTCCAAACAATCGTGTCACTTACGAGATGTGTTTCAATTATGTTACAGAGAAAATTCGTCAGCTACGAGTACAACTCACAAAATATAGAACTGAACTGAAGCAACGAAAAGAACAACTCAATACTTATTTTACAGCAGCCATCGATGAAAAGATCAAATCGTTCGTTGAAGAATATGGTATGACATTACGTCGAATCTTGATTGAAAGTAAAATTGTTGTTATCAAATGTGATTACTATGATGAACTGTTCAAATCGAATTTTGATTATGAAAATGCCTATGCTCATCAAGTATGTCACTATTGAACTCGAAATCATCTTCATCGACTTCTTCTTCTTTCTCTCTAGTTGAAATTATTCGAGAAAATATGCCAAAGTAAATTGAACAAAGAAACAGCTCGAATGGAAGTGGATTTATTGAAGCAACGTGTTGTTCATCAACACTATTCGGATTTATTTCTTGCCTTTCGCATACCAGAACCACCAGCTTTACTTACACTGCAAGATCGAGGTGTTCGA